GCGAAGTGCACGGTATCTACGACGGTCCGCTTATTTTCGATGAAGAGCCTTTGGGGCCCTTTTTAAAGGTGACGCTTTCTGATTTTGGCTTGTGTAAGCCACTGGAGAAATATATGTTACTAGAAGTTGCTGATTTTATTGCTCCATAGTCTAAAAATGAGTACCACGGGCATTTGGGCGCAGAAACTGCGCTACAACAGTGGAAACGCAATCATCGTTCATTGGCATGTCGCAAGATAATAAATTGGAGACCATGTTTGAAGTTCGAAGAACAAAAAATGTCTTATGAGGCTAAAGATCTGATCCTCCATTTGTTATGTGAAGTTGAGCGATGTTTAACCTTCGTGTTCGACCGGGGAAAATAACAGGATTTGCTACCATGAGTTCGACACCACACGCCGGCCACGGGAGCACATCGGCTTCGAGGGCGAAGCCTTCCGAACCGGGGGAGAATGATGTAGAATAGTATTATTATTATTATTATTATTATTATTATTATTATTATTATTATCTTGGAGAATAAGTTAGGAATTAAATATTAGAGATCTTGTCTTATTGGACAAGTTATGAATAATGTTTAGGAGTCTTATTTAAAGGGCTCCCCCATCTATTGTTTTAGGCAGTTGAATTTGAGAATGAATTAAAATTGTTCGTGTTTTTTGGGAGAGTATCCCAAGTTCGAGAGAGTATCTCGTATCCTTCCCACTCGTAAGCTTCCCCTACATCATTTTATCTGAAATATGCAACTAATATGCAGTGTTAAAAACTCTTGAGGGAGAGCTTTGCCGCCCTTGTGGTCCTACCCGGCTCGATTTCGAATTAGTTGGTTCTCTTGTGGATCCGGAAACCGGAAGTCCATGTACCAAAAAAAAATATGCAAATTTATTGATATTTCTGTGCAGATATAGTTTATTTTTGGTACATTTTAGTTTCATAGTGCTGCATTCCTAGTTGATAAATTGTACCGCTGTAGAATCCTTTTGAGTAATGCATATTTAGTTCTTATTAGTTGCATATTTTGGTCATGTGCAATGCATAAATAGTATTTACTTATTATTGCAACTAGATGCATAGTTATTATTATTTGCATAATTAATTTTTAAAGTGGCACATTTAATTCTTACTAGTTGCATATTTAGGTCATAGAAAATGCATAAATAGGTTTTTACTTGTGGCGCAGTTATTATCATTTGCATATTAGTTTTAAAAGTTACATAGTTAGTTCTTACATGTTGCATGTTTAGGTCATGGAAATGCATAAATAAGTTTTTACTTGTTGCATAGTTCTTGTAAAACAAATTCATATTTAACAAATATGCACAGTACTGTAACTAAGATGCATATTTATTGATATTTCTGTGCAAAAGTAGTTCATGTTTAGCTGTAAGCATATTTATTGATATTTCTGTGCAAAAGTAGTTTCATAGTTGGGTTCCTAATTGATAGAATGTTAATTGTTATGGAATCCTTTTGGATAATGCGTATTTTATTTCTTATTAGTTGCATATTTAGCTCGTAGGCAATGCATAAATAATATTTACTTCTTGCACAATTATTGTAAACCATTGGTTTTGCTATGGAGCCATCAGATGCTCGGCTTATGGACTTAACCATTGTTATTCACAAATGATGTATTGACACGTGTCCTGCAATAAATGCACATTGGACATGTGTCAGTACATAAAGTTGTGGATGACTCCATAAAATTTATATGTAAACCAGATGCATATTTATTGTTAGGTAGATGTCTGTTTATTGTAACAAAGATACATAATTATTATTATTATAAGAAGAAAAATGTTACAAGTACATAATAAATGTACATAGAGGTGTACATAACACTCACAAGGGTGGGGTCTACTTAATTTTTTTCATTTTGGTAGGTCCTACTAGATGTGAGTATTATGTACACCCATATGTACAATATTATATACCTATAACATTACTCTTTTAAGAAATATGAATTTATTTATATAATTGTGCATAAATAGCTATTGATTTGTGTCTGTGCGTACATAGAACGTGCGTCTAGTGACTGCTTTGGCAATGCTGGTGACTCTGTGTGCGTGTGTGTGTGTTGTGTTTGTGTGCGTGTGTATGTGTGCGTGCAACATGGGTACGTAGGTTAGTGTGTATTTTGTGTGTGTGTGTGTCAGAGAGAGTGATATTAGGCTTAGTGGTTGTGTGAAGTCCACCAGGTAATTGGAATTTGATCAAAGTACCCTTAATAAGTGGTCAAATACATATATTTTATCACAATATGACCACTTAATTACGAGATTTCTACAACATGTTTGACACATTAATACAATTTGACTAATCATTGATATGTTTGATCCAATGTTATAGATTTATTCTTATTTCTATAAAAAATATCATGAAGTCTGGATATAAACTTAATTAGAGACCTGCTTTCGAGAGACCTGTTGTCGAGAGACCTGTTGCCAAGAGAACGAAATCAATTTCTCCACATTGTTATATTTTCTTCTATGAGATATCTAGATGATTTTAATAACATTCCTGAAGGTGATTTTTAACAAATGATTAATGATGTCGTAAATGCATTCATATGCATGTAATGTTGTTTCATTATGTGTGAGATAAAAATCGATTGTAGGGCTAAGTATGATATCTCTCTTTCGACCAATACGGTGAATCTTCATGGACGACCGACCTCAGCGTTGATGCGTGCACTTGTTACAGTATGGCCACACGTTGTGGTTGCTGTGCGTTGGGTCATTGGGGATGGACACACGGTCCGTTTCTAGCTCGACCCGTGGCTGGGTATGGCCGGACTTTGCGACTCTTAGCAAATAGCGATCCGTCGGGGGAGACTATTTCTACGACGATGGCTGAGATGGTTAATGAGTTTGGGGACTGAAACTGGGCTACCTTTCAAGACTTTCTTCCCACGTTTGCTCTTCTGTATAGCCGCCACGCTTTCTCCTAGGGCGACGGATGGAGCGGATCACCTGCTATGGGGCTTCTCTGCCGACAGACGATTTACCACAAAGTCCGCCTATGAGTCGCTTTTACACGGCGTGAACGACCCTCCTTTGCCCATCTAGAAGATCCTTTGGCGAGTTTCGACGCCAAAACGGGCCCGACATTTTTTATGGCTTGCTAGTAAAGAGCGTTTACTTATGAATGTGGAGAGAGTTCGGATTCCACCTCTGAGAGCTGTGATTTTTGTGGCCGTCGCAAGTCAGTCCTACATGT